CATATAGATAACAATATTGACCTATATCTTCGGCACCATCAGGCTTTAACATTTAAATAAACATAACGCAAGTCAAATTTTATTTGATAAACGGACATTGGTGATATCTTCTAACTTGTTTTTTATACCCTACACCACAAGGTGGTCAGGGTATTATGTCTTTGTGCATTTGTTTGGAACAGGCAAAAGGAAACGAGATAGACCCATAGATCCTTTTGATGATCTGAATAGAATCACACTCTGAGTCGATTTATACATGTTCGTCCAACTGTCCATGTATTTTTGTAAACTAAGTACAGGTCGCATTTATTGCCCGATTCAGATGAAATTTTGCAGAACTAATTTGTTTGACCCAAGGACGAACTCTATTGAAATTGGGATAATCGGCCAAAATTTAGGTATAGCTCCCATATATATTTTCGTCCAATTTGCCTTATGTTGTGTACCAAACGTGCAATATCAAACCAAATAGTATGAAATTTTGCACGTACGACCAAATTAAGCCTGGAAATAAGTGTACCAAATTTGATTAAAATCGGTTCAGATATAGCTATAGCTCCTATATATATTGTTCATTCGATTTGTTATATTTGTTCTCCGCAGCCGAAATATGCACTGTGTAACAACGATATTTGGGGAAATATATCAAATGCAGCTTAGAAATACCTTTGCTAAATTTTATTGAGATCGGTTTAGATTTGGATATAGCTCTCATATATAACTTCGTCCGATTTACCTTATTTTGTGCACAAAAGTCTAATATTTGCCCAAATGGGATGGAATTTGGCACATACGACCGAATTGAGAAGGTAGTATGCCAAATTTGGTTCAGATATAGCTATTGCTCCCATATATATTGTTCATCCGATTTGTTGTATTTGTTACCCACAGCCGTAATATGCACTCTGTAACAACGATATTCAGGGAAATATATTAAATACAGATCAGAAATATCTTTGCCAAATTTTATCGAGATCGGTTCAGATTTGGATATAGCTCCCATATATATCTTTATCCGACTTCTAATTAATTGTGCACCAAATGGGCAAAACAAATCCGAATTTAAAAGATACAAATGCTTCGGCATATTTAGTCCTTTGAACTATAAATTATAATTATAATCAAAGCGTGTATGATTGAATTCTCCCATAAAAACTTTTAATTGTTATGTGGAGCTCAACTTAATTAGCAAAGTGGTGTAGGGTATCATAAAATCGGCCCCGCCCGACATTAGGACTTTCTTTACTGGTTTTCTGATGTATGTGACTTCCCTTTGCAAATATCTATGATATAGAGATAATACAAAATGTATACGGTAGGGTAGGTTCCAAAGCTATAGTCTTCTAAATATTACGTTTCTAATATCTGATGCAACAAAACAACTTCTTTGTTTATTTGACAAATTTTCCACAATATTTTAATTTAGACCGAAATCGCTAAAAGTGAATTCGGCTTTTCATAATATCGAGTTCATGACTATCACTACCATTTTTCATTACACAATGCAAACATTCCCTTTGCCCAAAAGCTCTAAATAAGAATTGCATTTCAATAGAAAAGTCGCGAAATTGCAAAAATCGATTTTTTTTTATATAAAATTTTCTCCTGAATTCTTCCACAATGGCCTTTCGTATGGAAAATTTTTTAGCGGTAAATTCGGCAAATTCAAATTAAAAAAATTTATTCACATCGCCGGAGAATGCCATACCTGTGCATAATGTTGCTACTTGGCTTTCTACACCAAGACACTCGGATCTTAGACGAGATGTTCACAATTTTGGATATTGATAAGTTGTTGTTACAGCGATCCTCGCCAACAACAATACAACGTTAGGGACGAAAGAAGATTATAGAAAATTATCAGGGCTGTCACAGAAACCAATTTTGTCACTATTGGTTATAAAAACGACAAAAAAAAATGATTTGGTGTCATGAAAATCAATGTTATCGGTTTTATTTTCGAATTAGAATTTTAACGGTTTTGGTTGTCATAGATGCCAATGTTATTGGTTTTGTTATTGGAAATAAACCAAGTTGCTTAGAGCTGTCACTTTTCATTTGCTTTGGATTTTTTAAACAATTTTTAAAGGATATTCAAAGGACTAAAAATGTGGATTTTTAAACAGTTTTTAAAGGATATTCAATGGACTAAAAATGTGGATTTTTTAAACAATTTTTAAAGGATATTCAAAGGACTAAAAATGTGAATTTTTTAAACAATTTTTAAATGACTATAAACGTGGATTTTTTAAAGAGTTTTTAAATTACTATAAACGTGGATTTTTAATGGACATTTAAAGGACAATAAACGTGGATTTTTTAAAGAATTTTTAAAGGACTATAAACTTGGATTTTTTAAAGAATTTTTAAAGGACTAGAAACTTGGATTTTTTAAAGAATTTTTAAATGACTAGAAACTTGGATTTTTTAAAGAATTTTTAAAGGACTAGAAACTTGGATTTTTTAAAGAATTTTTAAAGGACATTTAAAGGACAATAAACGTGGATTTTTTAAAGAATTTTTAAAGGACAAGAATTTGGATTTTTTAAGAATTTTTAAAGGACATTTAAAGGACAATAAACGTGGATTTTTTAAAGAATTTATAAAGGACTAGAAACTTGGATTTTTAAAGAATTTTTAAAGGACATTTAAAGGACATTTTGAAAAATGAGCTAGGGGTAAAGACATTGAAATTCTAAAAAGTGCAAGAACTTACACCGTAACAGAAAGAAAATAGACTCAAAAGAGCTAAAGAGTTGCTTTGATTGGCCGAAAGTGGTGAACTGTCGACTTTGGTTTTTTCCGATGAGAAAACATTCATTGTCCAGCAGAATGTAAACAAACAAAATGATCGTGTTTACTTGCCAAAGAGGTCAGCCGAAAATGTGCACCTTCGGTTGGCCACCAGAACTCAAGCGCCGGCCATGGTGATGGTGTGGGCTGCCATAACAGCCAATGGTCGCTCTTCGCTCGTATTTATCGACCGTGGCATCAGAATAAATGTCAAATATTATCGCGAAAATAGTCAAGAGGGTGTATTAAAGCCTTGGGCACGCAAACATTTTGGCCGCAGACCTTGAACATTCCAACAGGTCTCAGCACCATCGCACTCAGCACGCGCCACCCAATAATGGTTACAAAATGAGGTTCCTCGCTTCATTTCCAGTGTAAAATGGCCACCAAAATCTCCGGATACCAATCCGTTGGACTATTGTGTCTGGAGTATTTTGGAAAGCAAGGTTAGCACTTAAAAAAATACCAAAGCGCCAAAAATACCAAATAGCCAAAGGTCCTTACGAAGTTGGTATGAATGGGCTATCATTTTTAAATTCGATTCCATTGTACATGTTTTTCTAAATTTTTTACCGATTTTAGGATTTTTTTTAATGTGATAATCGTGATTTTTTAGCGATATTAAAGTAGTAATTATCCTTTTACTTTGGTGTGGCCGCGTTAAATTATTTCGACATCATCTGTTCGTTTTCGCCACAACATAATTCGGTACTACACTTAAATGTAACCCGCCTGCAATTTCCGTTTTCAAAAAATTAAGTCAATTCAATAAAGTTAATCAAATTGAAGAAGCCGTTCGTACATGACAAAATATTGAATTTTTTAGTTCATATCTGACCCTCTTCTGAAATGATATTACTCGTATATTTCCACTTACCCAATAAATACATAAAATGTATATATTACAATCTTGTCTGTTGTCGCTTTATACTACACAGTGAAAAGACTACACATCATATTAACATTAAAAAAGAAAAAAAAAAAACACTACAAATATACATTCGAAAGTAGTAAGTAAAGGTGAAAAAAGAATCATGCAGTATGAAATATTACTAATATACATTCCAAAAGTCAACATGAAAAATGTATAATTCTTACACAATTTTCTTGGATTTTACCCTTTTCTGCCAAGAGAAAATTCCGAATTTGTCTGAATCGTTAAAATCAGACCAGCGGTTCTTGAGTTATAAGCCTAGTAACTAATACAACTTTCTTTTATATATATAATATAGATTTTGACTCGTTGTAGGGGAGGTACCAGAAGGAGTGATCCGACATATTCCATTTTCACGCCTGGTTTTGTGTTCACAGAAATATTGAGATGTGCCGAGTTTGAAAGAAATCGGATGATCATTTCGCATTTTACTCTCTTCATGCTTATTTAAAATTTTGACCCGTTTTGGGGGAGGTACCAAGGGGAGTACACTGATATATCTCGCCTTCACAAAAGATCTCGTGTTCATCAAGATATTAAGATGTGTGAAATTTAAAGAGAATCTGACTCTTATTTTACATTTTATAAAAGAGTTATAATTATTTCAAATTTTGAAGCTTTGCGGGAGATGTATTTAGCGTAGTGGTCCGTCATTGTTCATTTTCGCACCTGATCTAGCACTGACAAAAATATTGGGATTTGCAAAGTTTGCACAAAATCGAATGATCCTTTATCCTTTCAGAAGGAGTGGACGTATGTTGGCAATCTCCGAACTCTATATAAGTTTGACAATAAAATTACGGTGTACCAAGTTGGGACCAATTCGGATATTCCCTTCGAGAGTTATCGTACACACCATCCAGACAGACGGATGAACACCCCTAGATCGATTCCAAATGTCCTGAAACTGATTTGGTTCAAAGAGACTCAGGGTCTAAAACGGTTATTTGGATGACGCACGTTTAGGCAGTATCAAAAGAATATACCCCCATATATAAAAAACCTGATTGAATCAAGCATGCGAATTAACATCCAGAAAACAGAATAAAATATTATTTTGCATCCAGGAATTAGAAACGTCTTAATTTAAGCTCCCTTGTAAAAATAAATTCTGTTGCACAAAAACTCTTTTCGGAATAGGGAAGTCAGGAGAAGATTTGTGTAATCACCATTTTATACTTACTCTCATTAAAAAAACACACACCAACTCTTAAAGCTCAATATATTTTATTCCATATTTAGGAATTTTGACTTTAATATAAAAAAGGTTATCTTAATTATGTCATTAAACTATTTCTTACTGGAAAATCATTTGAGCGTTAGTTATTTTTGTTTTTAGTTAGTAGTACAAAATATAAAATATAATATAAAACTTATAAAAAATTAATTTTACATTTAATTTAAAAATATTTATTTTAAATTCGGTAAAGATAAATGAAATTAGCGTTTAAAATAATATGTGTTAATTAAAAATAAACTATGATTTATAAATATTTGTGATTAAATGGTTAACTAAATGATGCGCATAGATTTGAAAACTTCAATCAATTTTGTCATTTGTGACTTTTCAAATCAATCGTTTCGTCCGTTTTCGTCCATTAACCGATTGAATGTGTGATGTGTGTGATTCAGTCTCAACAAATACAATTTTAGCTAACAAAATAACTCTACGATTAGATGTTTGTTCTTACGGCTAATGTCACTTTCTGTATTCTAGATATTTTGAGTAGTGTATAAACTATTCTTGTTAAACGTATGACTGTTGTTTTGTGAATGAGAAAATGAGAGGAGAAACGAAGAGAATTAAATCTAAGTAGAAATTAAAATAGAGGGTTATGCAACGTTGGAGAATAGTGGTTCAGATATGATTTTTTCCATTTTAACGGTTGTGTTTTACAAAAAAGTTGTTAATACTTTATGGTGTAGGTTCCAAAAGAGTTGGTCAATTTTTTCCATTTCGTATCTGGCCTAAGTCTGATATAAATATTACAACGTGCCAGATTTGGACACAGTTTATGACACATTTGATAATTTTTTTAAAATGTTGAAATATTCGTGAGGTCCCTTATAAAGCGGGCCGAAATGCAAAGTAAAAAAAAAACACTTATTTCCAATTTTATGCGAATAAATGATAACTAAAATGCTGAACTTTTGTGGGGAGGATAAATATCATAATCACATCAGATCTCTAGTAAATTAAGACATACCAAGTTTGCAAAGAATCGCTGATATGTTTCGCATGTTATGAGAGGTATATAATATTGAAAATTGTGACCCTTTGTGAGGGAGATGCCAGAAGGGGAAGACCGATATATCCCATCTTCATATCAGATCTTACATTAGTATAAATAATGGAATGTGCAAAGTTTAGAAGGAATTAGAAGCTTATTGTGCATTTTGGCTATTCAAAATTTTAACCACTTTGTGAAGGTTGCACAAGAAGACGTGGACTCACACCAGATCTTGTGCTAGTAAAAATATTGGAATGTATGAAACCTAAAAAGTATCGTGTGCTTATTTCGCTTTTATGAGGGTGATTTGTATTCCAAATGTTAACACCTTTGTGGGGGAGGTACCAGAAGGAGTGGAACGATAACTACCATATTCCCTATAGATCTTGTGGTATTAGAAGTATTATAATGTGTGACGTTTTTAATGAATCAGATATTTATTTCGCATTTTGTGAGAGATATAATTATTAAAAATCTTGACCCGTTGAGTGGGAGGTTCCAGATGGAGTGCACCGATATATCTCAGATTAACATCTGATTTTTCTCTAATAAAAATATTAATGTGCGTCAAATTTATTTCGCATTTTTGAGTGATATAATTAATCAAAACTTTGACCTCTTATGTGGGAGGTACCAGAAGGAGTGGTCCGATATAGTTTATCTATATACCAGATCTTGGAATAAATGTGAAATAAAGGTCCGATTGTCTTCAAGTAAATATATTGGTAAAAATATTGAGATGCGCGAAAATCCCAATATCACATTTTATAAAAGTTATAATAATTCAAAATGTCGGGTTACATGATGTAGTGGTACGATATTGTCCATTATCGCATCTGACCTAGCACTAATACAAATATTGCGATTTGGAGTGGACGGATATTGCCCATCTCTGAACTCGATCTAAGTTTGATGATAATATTACGATATACCAAGATTAGACGAAATCGGATACTTTTTTGAGAGTTATCGTGCGCACCAGCCAAGAAGACTGACGGATACCCCTATATCGACTCCAAATATTCCGTCCATCTGTCTGTCCATGTATTTTTGTGAACAAAATGCGGATCACACTTATAATCCGATTTAGATAAATTTTGATACAGGTTATTTGTTTGACCCAAGGAAAAACTCTATTTAAATTGGAGATAATCGAATCAGATTTGGATATTGCTGATATATGTTCGTCCGATATTGCTGATATTGTTCACCAAATGTGGAATATTAGCCCAAAATAGGTTGGAATTTGGCAACCAAATTGAGTTCGGAAGCAATTATGTCAAATTTAGAGAAAATCGGTTAAGAAATAGCTAAAGTTCCCATATATAATATTCATCCGATTTGTTGTTTAATTCGGGAAAAGATATCAACGTTATTTGGGAATAGAAATCAAATATAGCTCAAAAATACCTCTGCCAAATGTTAGCAGGATCGGTTCAGATTTGGATATAGGTCCCACATATATCTTTATAGTTTTTGGTACATACGTCCCAATTCAGTCTAGAAGCAAGTACTTCAAAATTGGTTGAAAATCGGTTCAGATATAGCTATAGCTCCCGCATATATGTTTCATCCGAATTCGTGTTAAAGTCCCTCATATTTGTTATTCGGAAAAATTTATCAAATATAGCTCATAAAGACCTCTACCAAATTTCATCAAAATCCGAAAGATTTGGATATAACTCCCATATATATCTTTATCCGATTTCGAATTTCTTGTGTACCAAATGGTTAATATCAGCCCAAATGGGATGGATTTTGGCACATACGACCCAATTCAGTCTGGAAACAAGCACTTTAAATTTGGGGAAAATCGGTTCAAATATAGCTATGTCTCCCACATATATGTTTTATCCGATTTGGTGTTAAAGTCCCTCATATTCGTAATGTAAACTCTGCAACAATGATATTTGGTACCAGATATCAGATAGAGTTCAGAAATACCTCTGCCAAATTTTATCGAGATCGGTTCAGATTTGGATATGACTTCCATATATATTTTGAAACTTGAAAGTTGGTTCCCATGTATTATTTGCTCTGTTATATATTTGTACCTTCCACCTTGAAAAGCAGGGTATATTGAATATGTCATTCCATTGATAAAACCTCTATATATTCGTCGTAAACCCCATAAAGTATATATGTTCATGATCAGCATAAAATTCTAAGTCGATTTAACGATGTCTGTCTCTCTGTGGAAATCACGATACAGCGTGGTACAGTAAATTGCATTGCGTCTAGGATAGTTGGCCTTGAAAATGAGTTATATCGGTCCACGTTTTGTGACAGCCCCCCATATAACAGTACCTCCCGATATTCGGTATTTGAATGGTTTAGTCACATATTTCCACCAATTTGCCTATAAATTAGTATTTGTGTTGTTTGTAATGGGTTCTAGCTTCGGTGACAGAACATTGGATGTATAGGTCATCGTTCTCGTATAGCCCCCATATTACGGTACCTCCCAATATTCGGTATTTTCCACTGATTTGTCTAAAAAAATGTATTTGTAGTTCGTGAATGGTTCTAGTCCCGGTGGTATATTGAATATCTGGGAACACGTTTTCCTATGGCGCATATATATCGTTTTCATCGGATATTCGGTATTTTGACGATTTAAACCGTATTTTCTAATATATTTGTGTGAAATTTGATATTTGTACTTCATATTTTGTACTTCTAAAGGAATTTGATATGGTACGAGAGGAAAAACTGACTTCGTCAAATTTGGTGGAAACCGATTCAGAGTTGGATATACCTCCCACGTATATTAGATCCATCTGATTCCAAATTATAAGTGCTGTAATGTCATAATACGAATACAAAAAAGGTTTGTAGTTGGTTTTACAAAAAGTGCCAAATACTTTACATAAATTCCCAATATAAATGTTTACTTGTTACGTATAGCTCGCCCCGCCTCTCTTTACTGGTTAAAATTCGAAATTAAACGCATTAACTAGAAATATTCATCTCTGAACCACTATACCCATGTGGGGGATAATTTTTATAAATATTCTTAGAAAAACTTTTCCATTTGAGTTTGTTGAAAAGTAATTAAGTCTATTTTTAAGTACTCTTGTTCTAGCTATAGGTTTTCCTAACTTTTGCCAAATATGGACTTCGAAGAATAGAGTCTTCCAATCAATTTTTTCTCCATTCTTACTTAACTTGTCCCCTACACAAAAGCGAAAAACGCTAGAAAACATTTTAATGACAGCAAATTGGGATAAACGGGAGAGAAAATAAGGATGTGTTAATAAAATTAGGATTTAGAAAATATAACTTATCAATTATTCTAAATCATGGCCATTCATGTTGTTAGCTTAATCTCATTTGTTTAAATATCAAAAATTTCAATGAATCATTAACTTAGGGGTAAAATTTAAAGTGATTTAATTGTTAATAAATTAAAAAAAAAAAAATAATTGAGTTCACAAACAACATTTTGTTTTGGTTTGACTTCCACTTCATCGCCATATTAAAATGTTGTCACTTTGCCCAAACGCATTCCCAGTAATTTACGCCGTTTCTTAGCACTTAGCTTAGTCCATATGGTACTGCTGCCCTCTACCAGCAAAAATTCATCACATAAATCTTCACTAAAATACTGTTGGTCATCGGGAAATTTTTCTGAACGTGAATCGCCAGAAACAAACCCGCTTTCAGGTCTTGAGAGGGATGTGGTGTTATTCCAGGGGAGCTGTTGAAACCAGCGCGCTACTTTGGCAGTTGAAGAAAGCTGTAAAGAAAAGAAATCAACAATTATTTTCAATAACAATAAAAACCAGTAAGGAAAGCTCAAAAGTCAGGCGGGGCCGACTATATGATACCCTACACCACTATGCATATTTAGTAGAGCTCTCGTAAAAAGGTTTATACAGGGCATTTCAGAGCTCTATGAGATATTTGGTACAAAATCAAAATCTATCTAATTCTATCGTGCATTTTACGAACTATAGCTATCTCTGAACCGGGTTTCTCCAAATTTTATGTATTAGCTTCTAGACTGGTGATTTGGGCTGATATTGACCATTTAGTGCACATTTAACCTGAAATCGGATGAAGATATATATGAGAGCTATATCCAAATCTGAACCGATTTCGATAAAATTACAAACAGCTATTTCTGGGCTGTATCTTATATCTGGTACCAAATATCATTCTTGTGGAGTGCATATTACGAATGTGAGAGGCTTAAACACCAAATCGGATGAAAGATATATATGGGAGCTATAGCTATATCTGAACCGATTTTCTCCAAATTTGATATACTTACTTCTAGGCCGAACTCGGTTGGGTGTGCCAAAATTCAGGTAATTTGGACTGATAGTGGACATTTGGTGCACATTTAACCCGAAATCGGATGAATATATATATGGGAGCTATAGCTGTTTCTGAACCGATTTTCTCCAAATTTGTTGTATTTGCTTTAAGGCTAATCTCGGTCACATGTGCCAAAATTCGGGCCATTTGGGCTGATATTGGCCATTTGGTGGTCAATTAACCCGAAATCGGATGAAGATATATATGGGAGCTATATCCAAATCTGAACCGATTTCGATAAAATTTAAAACAGCTATTTCTGTGCTCCATCTAATACCTGGTACCAAATATCACGGTTGTGGAGTGCATAGTAGGAATGTGAGGGACTTAAAGATCAAATCGGATGAAAGATATATATAGGAGCTATAGCTATATCTGAACCGATTTTCTCCAAATTTGATATACTTGCTTCTAGGCCGAACTCGGTTGGGTGTGCCAAAATTCAGGTAATTTGGACTGATAGTGGATATTTGGTGCACATTTAACCCGAAATCGGATGAAGATATATATGGGAGCTATATCTAAATTTGATCCGATTCCCACCAATTTCAATAGGGTTCGTCCTTGGGCCAAAAAAATATTGTTTGGAAAATTTCATCTCAATCGGATAATAAATGCGACCTGCATTTTGTTCACAAGAATACATGGACAGACGGACGGACGGACGGACGGACGGACAGACGGACTGACATGCATAAATCGACTCAAAAAGTGATTCTATGAAGTTTCTCAAAAGTAACTATGGGTCTATCTCGTTTCCTTCTCCATGTTACAAACAAATGCACAAAGACATAATACCCTTACCACTATGTGGTGTAGGGTATAAAAATTGGAAATATTGAGCTAAACTAATAATAATAATTTCTTAATGTCAATTTTGTCTTATATATACAGGGTGAGAGGAAAAAACTGCAACCAACTTCAGACTGGTGTCATTTCTAAGCCACTCGTCCGAAAGCTGTTAAAATTATTCCAGTGACAGCTCATCATATTGTTTACAAGCGCACCTTAGTGAGCACCTTAGTGAGAATTTTCCAGAAAAAAAGTTATTCGTGATGGAATTCAAGTGTGATAGTGTGATTTCTTTATACTTGGCTGGAAAATCTCAAGTGGCTATCGTTAGAGCATTCCAGCATTTAAATGTGAATAAATCTTTTGTGTCTCGTACCATCGCATCAGTATAAATGCCAAATATTATGGAGGAAAAATTCTGGAAGGTTTATTACAGCCTTGGGCACGCAAACATTTTGGCCGCAGACCTTGGACATTCCAACAGAACTCAGCACCATCGGACTCAGCATGCGCCACCCAAGAATGGTTACAAAATGAGGTTCCTCCCTTCAATTCCAGCGTACAATGGCCACCGAAATTTTCGGATACCAATTCAAACTTAACCTGCCTACTGGCAAAATATATATGTGTGCAAAATTTTAGCCTTCTATCTCAATTCGTTCGAAAGATGGCGTGCCTTTATTTGTGCACCAAACGTGTAATATCAATCCGAATAGTATGGAATTTTGCACATGCAATGAAATTAGGCCTGAAAAAAAGTATGCCAAATTTGATCGAAATCGGTTCATATATAGCTATAGCTCTCATATATATTGTTCATCCGATTTTTTTTTGTCCACCGCCGCCGTAATATGCACTCTATAACAACAATATTTGAGGAAATATATCAAATACAACTCAGAAATACTTTTGCTAAATTGTATCGAGACCGGTTCAGATTTGGATGTAGGTTCCATATATAACTTTGTCCGATTTACGTTTTATTGTGCACCAAATGTCTAATATTTGCCAAAATAGGATGGAATTTGGCACATATGACCGAATTGAGTCTAGAAGCTAATATACCAAATTTTGGAGAAGATCGGTTCAGATATAGCTATAGCTCCCATATATATTGTTCATCGGATTTGTTGTATCTGTTGCCCACAGCCATAATAAGCTCAGAAATATCTTTGCAAAATTTTATCGAGATCGGTTCCGATTTGAATATAGCTCCCATATATATTTTTATTCGATTTCAAATTAATTGTGCACCAAATGGGCAATACAATTCCGAATTTAAAAGATACAAATGCTTCGGCATATTTAGTCCTTTGAACTTTAAATAATAATTATAATCATAGCGTGTATGATTGAATTCTCCTATAAAAACTTTTAATTGTTATACAGAGCTCTACTAAATTAGCAAAGTGGTGTAGGGTATCATAAAGTCGGCCCGCCCGACTTTAGGACTTTCTTTAATGGTTTTTCTTATCTCTTATTCTCATGGTGAAATAAATGAATCTCATTTTTTGCAACAATATTAATCCGCATGTTTTTTTTTTTCCTTCTTGAATAAACAAATCTTGAATTATTATGACAGCATTTATCTTTACAATTAATGCCGAAGGCTCAACGGTTGTCTCTCAGCTTCCAAGAATTAATTTCATTCACACACACAGACACACAATCCTAATTTCTGACGCTCATTAAAAGCGAAGACGATGAATACGGAGGAAACCAGATCCTCGTGTGTCACGTAAAACTCATTAAACGTCAATTTACACAAAATTAATTAGACGTTATAAAGTTTTACCTTCTCGGTAAAGCTGTTGAGGTGAGATGCGCTACCGTTCACATTCGCATCATTACCAATTAAATGTAAATGGCGGTCTCATGTAACAACGCCTTCTTAAAGATAGCACACAATCTACAACGCCCTGAACTTAAAGGCACAAAGTGATATCTCACTGTTGGTTGCGGCACAATGAAAGACAGTGGGTGACGTTAAGCCACAGAGTAGAGAGGGTGATGGCGGCTTCTGTCAAATATAAAGATGTGTGTGGTCCTGGGCTGCCAACAAAATTGCAAGAAAAATCGTCAATATTTCAGAACACAGAACAAAAAAGTTGATGTTGGAAATTTATGTGAAGTACATCATACTAACATTGGACCTTAGCTGAATGCGTATCATGGCTTAAGAGTAGTCACAATTTGGGAACTACATCCAACTTTGAATTGATTTTCAAAAAATTTGACGGTGACTTTTGTATCTCAGTACCAAATAATATTGCCGTGTAGAGCATGATATGGCTTCGATGTGAATTATATTAAAAAAATATATATATTAAAAAAATATATGATGCCACGGTCGATTAATACAAGCGGAGTGCGAACATCGGCTGTTATGGCGGCCAACACTATCACCATGGCCGACGCTTGAGTTCTGGTGGCCAACCGAAGTTGCACATTTTCAGCTGACCTCTTTGGCAAGTAAACATTATCATTTTGTTTGTTTACCAACTGCTGGACAATGAATGTTTTCTCATCGGAGAAAACCAAATTCGACAGTTCACAACTTTCGGCCAAGCTAAACAACTCTTTAGCTCATTTGAGGCTATTTTTTTTCATTCGCGGTATAAGTTCTTGCACTTCTTGGAATTTCATTGGTTTTACCCCGACCTCATTTTTCAATATGTGCTGAATGGAATATTGCGATATATTCGGCCCACGAGCCATTTTTCGATCAAGTCACTTCTTTACTTTTCTAACCATTTCTGCTGATGTTTCTGTTTTCTTCCGTCCACTACCTTGACGTTGGACTACGCTACCAGTATCACGGTAACGAGCGTTGTTACGAGACACAAAAGATTTATTCACATTTAAATGCTGGAGTTCTCTAACATAGCCACTTGTGGTTTTCCAGCCAAATATAAAGAAATCACTCTATCAGGCTTGAACTCCATCACGAATAACTTTTTGTCTGGAAAAATGTCATGGAAATACTTTTGAACGCTTGTAAACAATATAATGGGCTGTCACTTGAATAACTTTAATAGCTGTCGGACGAGTGGCTGGGAAAAGACAGCAGTCTGAAGTTGGATGCAGTTTTTTCATCTCAACCTGTATGTATTTATTCAAGCAATAGATATACCGGACCGAGTTCCACCAAATCGAAAAATTCGATGGAATATGAGAAAATCTATCCAATTTGAGCTGATATTAAATATGATGATATGGTAAAAATTAACCGTAAAATCGGATGAAGATGTATATCGAAGGAATACAAAAACTTGAACCGATGCCGGTATAATTTGGCAGAGTTATTTTCGTGCTGTATCTAATGTCCGGTATCAAATATCATTGTTGTGGGGTGCATATTACGCTATAGCTATATCTGAACCTAGGCTGAATTTCGTCGAAAGTTCCACAAATTCAGTCCATTTGGCCCTGATATTAGCCATTTGCTGCACACTAAACCTGAAATCAAATAAAGATATATATGGGAGCTATATCCGAATCTGAGTCGATCTTGAAACCCTTATTTCTGAGCTGTATCTGATATATGGTACCAAAGATCATGGCTGTGGAGTGCATACTGCGAATGTGATGGACTTCAAACCCCTAATAATAATAATACATATA